CAAAATCGACTTGAGAATGCCGTTTGGGCTCGGCATGTACGACGAGGCGTTTCTGTTGTGAATCCCATTGTTGTCCAGAGGAACGACGGAGATCTTCTCCCTGGCGTTTGGACGACACTTGTTGCAGGAAACCGACCCGTCGTCCGCTTCTTCCGCTGTGACTGAATCTGCAGAGTCGGAGCGCTTTGTGTTTTGGCGTCTGCCGTTTTTGTGATGAGGAGGCGGCGTTGGGTGGTGGTGCTTTGGAGTGGTAGTATTCACTCCTATGTCCGTACAATCCCCATCTTCTTGCCCTTCTTTATCACATTCTTGAATCTGCAACCAACAAACAAAAATAAAACAAACCATTAATAAAACAACTAACTAATGGGTATCTTTAGTTAGGCATATGAAAGATGGAAATTTTCTTTTCTTTTCTATCATTTTCTCGAGAAACAAACGCATCAACACTTACAGGGGTGAAATGGGTTGGTGGAGGAGGAGGAGGAGGAGGAGGGGACTTGGAGGAAGGAGGAGGAGCCATGTTTGATTTTCGTGTGTTGTTTTGTTGTGGCATTGTTTGGGTTGGTTCAGTTGAGCGGATGTCATGGCCATATATCTATATACGTGGGTTTTTTTATATAATTTTTCTCATTATTATCTTCCTGAGTTTTGGTTTGTGCTTGCTTTGCTCGTGCTCTGTTTTTGCTTGCGCTCTGTGTTTCAGTCTGTTTTTGTTTTTTTCTTTTCATTTTCTTATGTTTGATTTTTTGTCGTGTAGTAATCGTGGTTATGGATCACCGTGGAGGCAAACTGGTTCCCACGCGCTATCAAATGAAGCTTAAGCTTGTTGCTTGCATCCAAAACGATAAGATAATAATTAGTTTGATTTGATGGGTTAGAGCTTATTTAGATAATGCAGGGTTACTTACATAAAGGAGCATAACAAACGACTTATTAGGCAGGTTATTGTCAAACACTAATAACTCGATTTTGACCCACTAGACCCACTTAACACGTTTAAAGTGAATTAGGTAAAAACTCAATATCTTTTAAGCTCTTTTAGGTTTCCATATCAGCAGTAGGATACTCTCAACACACTCCATTATGTGTACTGTGAGCAATTCTTAGAGCATTTCCACTCATTTGTCATGAAAAAAGACAATGGAAGGTAATGGCTGTTACTATTTACATAAATAGTACATGTCATAGTCATTTTTTTGTTGGTTTTCTACCAATTATCATGGCAACCTAATGACAACTATTATTCACAAAAGATATGATGAGAGGCATTTGTATAGAGTTTCGATGTTGGAAGTGAAGAATATGATTAGGTATTTATAAATAAATAAAATTATGATTTTTTTGGTTTTTTTTTTCCTTCAACTCTTTTGTTATTTAAATTGATTGCAAAACGTTACAATGACGTCAACATTAGGTCAGCTTGGTGGAGCTCAGTTCTTGCCCAGCAGACTTGGGTGCTGGAAACCATATTGGGGGCCTAGGGGACCTCTTGCATAAGCTGGAGCCTCCCGATGGAACTGCTCTTATGGGATGATGGGGGATAATTGGATTTGCCAAGTTAATAACATGGTTATGTTCTGATGTTAGAATGTGAGTATCAAACTCAAAATCAATTAACATTATATGGAGCATTTCCATCTTAAATGGGTGATACTCACAACAATTCAATCAAATATGAACGGACAAATTACAGTTCCACTCACTTGTATAGCTCTGCATCTCACTCAAAAACTCACTTCATGTATTGTATTTGAATTGCAAGACCACAGTTCAATTAAAACCTCAACTAAACAAGCGTCCTCTAATTTAACGAGTACAAGGAGGAACAACAAAGTAGTGCTCACTCACATTCACATTGAAGTACTACATACATATATATATGCATTAATTTTTGTTGGTCCACCTGATAAGTTGTAGAAAATGTAATTTGAATGCTGCAATGCCATTAAGAGCTGGGTCGTGTGCATCAAAATCAGGGATCGAGTAAAAGTTCATTATTCCTTGCTGTTCTGCCTCTTATTTATGTAATGTGGGCTACTAATTCTAAAAGCATCCACAATGACGCTATCTATTTCTTAGCTAAAATTTAGCTAAGAATATAAGAAAGCTATTTTAGGAGCTCTCTAAAAAAATTTAACTCCAACCATACTCCCTAATTTGGAGAGTCATAAATGCTATAACTCTTTTTTGATTAGTCAATCTCTATTAAAAAATAAAATAAAAAATGATTAGCATTAAATAAAGGTTTGAAATACTTATTAAATAAAGCAGCATTAAATTATAGGGAGATACTAGGAGTCATTTCTCTCTCCTCAGATTTAGGAGCTCCTAGAGGACTCCTTATTTTAGGAGGTGGATAGGGAGCGTGGTTGGAGTTGCATTTTTATCATTCCTCTCTAAAATTTGTCTAAAAATGTGGTTTAGGGAGCCCATTGTGAATGCTCTAAAGCCTCCTCCTGCATATATAAATGCATGAGGCCATTAGTTGCATCGCGTATATTACCATACCTGGAAGGGAAGCCATTAATTAGAGGGTTGTTGCATATCAATCTTTGACGGCATGTTTACTTACATGGGAATTATTCTAATTCTTAATTTGCATTTACTAATGTGTGCTTCGCATTAAAATTCATAATTCAATACTAGTGCAATCAATATGTAAATTGATCAGGGGAGTAGTTGATGATTGCATACTCGTTCTTCCTTTTCTGATTTACGACTTTTTCATTGCAAATAAGTAAACATGAAATTAGGTTTTCGAATGGTAAAGCTTTTGTTTACGTACATAGGCTTCTAATACAAATTGCTGTGAATTTAGGTTTTCCAATAGTAAGATGCATGAGGAGGAGGTAACTATGACATTCACGGTGTGAAGCCAACTGGCGGGTCAAGATCGGAGAGCTCAGAAATATGGAAATTTGGGGAAATTATTTTAAGAGAAGTTATGAAGCAGCTAAAAAAGAAGACTCAATCAGAGTCATGTATTTAAGACGATGTCTTTAGAAGGTGTCAACATTTATTGCTATGTTTAATTCCCTCCTCTCAATTCTCAGAACCACCCCATCTACCCTCATTTATTGGGTTTTTTGATTTGATGGAAGTGAAGCAGATGAGATTGGATTGTGTTTTTTTTTTTGGGTCTGAACGGATGAGATTGGGTGAGCATGTGAAGTTAATAAATGAGACAGTGCGGCTGAGAGAAGTCATCGCCAAGTGGAGTGGTCCATGCATACGATAAGAAAGGAGACTGATGCTCTCTCCTATTTGTGCCATCAAAGTTAGCCGCTGACTCGTGTCATCTATATGGTCTATCAGCCTACTGCTGTAAAGTACCACGCGCAGGTAAACCCCACTCTCTTTACTTATGCTGATTAGCCGTATTTAACACTTAAGAGAAAGGGTCTTAAGTTCGACACTTCATGTCACCATGGTAATGTGTGTGAGGAAAGTTCTTCTTTATTGTAGTTGAATTTAACCCAAATATGGAGGTTTCGTTGAAGCTAAGATGCCTTGGAGCCTTCAAGATTTCACCTTGATCTCTAAGACCTCGTTTGGTTCATGGGAAATGAGATTTAAGGATGAGAAATCAATTGTTTTCTCATATTTGGTAAGTCCAGACATAAGAAATTGTTGCCCGGCCTATAGGAGAATAAGGAGAAAGTGAAGTCATCCTCCCAACTTAGTTTTGTTTTCCCTCATCATGAGAAAGTTTGGAAAAATGAACAAATATTAAATAAACATTTTTCATGACCATTTTGTCCCTATTAATAATTTAGAATTACAATATATCATTAAATGCATTCTTTTTTTTATTTGATTTAATATGGATATAATTGAAAATTTATACAAATTTTGTTTTTCATTCATACTCAAAACAAACATGAGAAATGAAATAAAATGATATCTCATAGTTACTTTCCTAGCATTACCAAATATGGGAAATGAATCTTCCATTTCCCATCACTTGGGAAATAACATGGGAAATGATTTCCCCTTAAATTCGTTCTATGAACCAAACGAGGCCTAAAGACATATCATCTTTACTTACTTGGAAAGGGTGAGAGGAATGGGGTCTCATTTCTGACTACTCCTTTGTTTACTTGCATGTTGGGAATGAAAAATTATGCGGGACTCACATGTAATCATGATTTTAATTCTTGATATAAGGCAATTGCATTTCGAATGAGGGAGGTGGTATTGATCATGGATGAATCGGAATGGACATTTTTTACCTAAATTACCCTATTATATTTTATGAAAACACCAAAAAACAAGTTGCTACCATTTTCTTTGAACCTAAGGGCTCGTTTAGGAGTACGTTTGTGCTAAAAGCGCTTCTAAATGGGTAAAAACACTTCTATCTTTTAAAAATTATGTTTGGCAGAAATTGTAAAAGCGCTTTGGGTGAGATTCAAAAGCGTTTGAAGTGGTTTTTTAAGAAGCACTTGAGAAATGCTTCTTTTTTTTTTTTTGGTAAAATAGGGGGCAAAGCCCAAACCAAAAGGATTACACAGGAACAAATCTAGGTCTCAAGAGACCATTCTTATCATCATCTAAAATAGGCTGCAACAGATCAGGAGGAGAAGAGAGCTCATGATAACCCAAATCCATATGATGACCCAGCTTAGCTAGAAATGCTTCTTCATAGAAGTGCTGCCAAGTGAATACACGGGAAGCACTTGGCTCCCTTTAATGAAAATTTCAAAACACCAAAAATAACCTTATGTAATTTTCTAAAACGCCAAAATACCCTCATCTGTTCTATCGCTCGCTTTGCATCAGACTCCATCGTGTTATTTCTCTCTCTTGGCCTCATGGTTTCTTTCCTGGTAGAAGATCTGACTATCAATTGAAGGCCATGGCCATCCTTGCTTCTCCTGCAGATCGTAATCTAATCATTAAAAACCATTTGGGTATTCTTTGTATTTGGATTTCCTTATCTGAGTTCTCTAATTGGATATGTTCTTCTATGATTTTTTATTATTTGGATGAAACTGGATCTTCTCTGCCTTGAAGTCCTTTTCATGTTTTTGAATTTTTTATTTAGTGTGTACGAATTGAAGTCTTTTTCATGGTTTTGATTTTTTTTGTTTTTTGAAATTTGTATGCATGGACTTGTCAATTTCCTTTTGTTTTGTTTCATGAGTAAAATTTGCAGTGGGCTTGATTGAATTAACAGTTTCATACGTTAATTTGGGTCAATCTGTATTGATTTGTTCGTTTGCAAACTATCTGGAATTAATGCAGCCAAAAGGGTGTTCATAACAAGCTGGAAAGCTGGAAACGTATTGTTTTTAAAATAATTTTTCAGTTTTGGGTTAAGAAACTCTAGTGCCATTGTTTTATACTGTTTTCTGAAAACAGTATATGGAAATATTTTTGGAAACTAGAGCCTAAGAAATGCTTTGTAAATGGGGCACAAACCAATTCTTTAGGAAGAAGGAGATTTGCTATACTAGTTGTCATTATATTCTCAAACCAAGCGTTTGGAAACTCCTGACCCAACCAAGAAGATAAAACAATGGAATTGGTGGAATTGAACAAAGCATTCTCAAATTGCATGGTCAAACATTCAATTATTTATCTGATATGTGATTCTAAGGTTAGTTGTTTTTTCAATGTAGCATTATGATATTCAATATAGGTCTACTAATTTTAACAATGCTGCAAATCCCAACCCTGTGACCCCATTGTTACCTGATTTCATAG